ATGCTCATAGCCCTTGCAGGAGTCCACAGGTAACTTAGAGGCACTGTGGGAAGATTAGGAGCCGCTGTGTCTTAGGTGCTGTGGATGATCTGGATGGAGTCCAAACAAGGTGATTTCTGATTTCTAGTTTTCCACATCAAACCATCAAAAAACTCTTAGAACTAATAAATCATTTCAGTAAAGCCACAAGGTGCAAAATCAATACACAAAAATCAGTTGTCTTTCTACACATTGATAATGAAACATCATTTAAAATCCCATTTACAACTGCATCCAAAAAAATACCTAGGAAAAAATTGAATCAAGGGTGTGAAAGACCTGCACACTGAAAATTCTAAGACGCTGAGGAAGGAAACTGAACAGACGCAAATAAATGGAAGGATACCCTGTGCTCACGGACAGAAAGAATTAATGTTAAAATGCCCATTCTACCAAGGCAGTGGTCAGACTCAAAGCAAGCCTCGTCAAATCATCATGCCCTACATCAGAAGATAACAGAACATCGTGAATTGACTACACTTCAATAAAATAAAATAAACTTCAGTGGTATTTTTCACAGAAACAGAACAAACATTCCTAACATTCACGTGGAAACACAAAGGACCCCGAACAGCCAAAGAGATTCCACAAAAGGGAGACAGGCTGGAGGCATCTCCCTCCCTGACCTCACACGGCATTACAAAAGCACAGTCACCAAAACTTTGTGGAACTGGCACAACGACAGGGACATGGACCAGAGAGAGTCTGCAAACAAACCTACGGGGATGTGGTCAGTTAACTCACAAGAAAGGAGCCAGGAGCCTACACCAGGGAAAGGACAGTCCCCTCGATGAATGGCGCTGGGAAACTGGACACCACACAGCAAAGAAGGACACGGCACAGTGTCTGCACCACACACAGAACCTGACTAAAACCCACAGCGTCCCACATCCGACCCTTCCTCCCCCGGGGCCTCTGAGGAGGGCCTCCCCTCAGCCGTCAGCCCCTCACGGGAAGCTTCTCCTCACTTTCCCTCACTTTTCCTTCCTCCTCACCTTCCCTCAGTGCAGCACCTCCTGTTGGGTCCTGAGGAGACGGGGCTCCCGGCAGCGTGGACATAACCCCCTGTTGTCCAGAAGCAAAGTGGCTCCAGGCAGCTGCGCAGGACGCCAAATCCTCGGGCAGAACGCACGCGAGTTCCCGCCGCAGGTGGGGGAGGCGGGCTCCGGGCCCGGCCAGCCAATGGGAAAGCGCGGGCCCAGCCGCCCTCACAGCCAGCCGAGGCCCCGCCCCGACAGCGGCTCTGCTCAATCCTTTAAACTGGAAATTCAAACTGAAATAGAGCCAAATATCCATAACTTCTCCAAATACTTAAGAAACAATCAGTTGGAAGCCATACAGAATGAAGTGAACGGAGACACAAACTTTAAACCTTACACCCTTGTTTGCTGAGCTTTCATGACAACCTGCCATAAGCGACTTCCTCCCTCCCCGAGGCCTTGCTTTTGTTTTCAGCTGAAGGTCATACTTCAGGTGATGCCTCCGGCCATTTCAGGGAGGGAGTCAGTGTTCCTGGGGGTCTCCCCTGTATGCAGGAGGTATGCATGTTATTCAACTTGCTTCTTTTTCTCCCTGTAATCTGTCTTATTAGGGGGTGGGGGGTGTCAACCAAGAACCTCGAAGGGGAGAGGGAGAACAGGTTTTCCTCCCACACACACGCAGTGGAATTCTCCTCAGCAACAGAAATTAAACCGTCAGCCCACAGAAAGGCACGGGTAAGTCTCACTTGTATGTTACTAAGTGAAAGAACCCAGTCTGAGGAGGCTGCACACAGTAGGACCCCATTGATGACAGTCATGGAAAAGGCAAAGCTACGTACATGAGCAGATCATGGGGTGGGGGTGGAGGGCTGAAGTGTTCCATGCTATACTTTAGGATGGACACCTGTCGCTATGTGTGTGTCTACACCCACACATTTGTACAGCCCAAAGGTCAATCATAATCTACTCAGACTTAGTTGTTTAGGGTGTAGCAGTGTCACAGGATGGAATGCACAGTGTGACACATAATCTATGAAATGTATTGGAAACAGGTGGAAAAAACAGTTGATGGTGGGCAAAGGTGCTGACCTAACTTAACTCTGGACCTGAACAGACTTCTGCAAAGGCAGAACGGACCGTTGTTAACCTGTGGGCTTTCTATTATAAAGTGCTTTCCGGGGTGTAGCAGTTAACAATTCTGAAATCCATTCTGTGCACATAACCTGCAATAGAGAAATTGGTTGACAAAGGGCAGGTGGTGGGAGCCAGGCTCCTCGCTGTGGGAATGGGAATCACAGACAAGCAAAGGGAGAGCCTTGGTCCTCGTGCTCCTGGATCTGAGCTTCCTGGATGGGTGGTGTGGGGAATGGACTGGGAGGGGAAGGCACGGCTCTTTGCCCTGGGAAAGCCCTACCAATGTAGGAACCTCACACCCCTTCCTTCTCCCCTGCTGGAAACATTCAGACCTCCAAAATCAGCCAATGTAGCCTTTAAGACATTCTCACCTGCGGGGGGCCACTCATGACCTGAGGACTGCCGAGCACAGAGGTTGGGCCTAAACTCCCACAGTGCAGAGCGTCAGGCTCTGAGGTTGATCTCTCAAGGACAATCTTTGTCCTGCCACCCCTTTGAGGAATGTGCCAGGTGCATTAAGGCCTGAAGGAACATCCTGAGCTATTAAGTCACTAAGGACCTTTGGAAGGAGAGATACAATCGGCACGCAAGTTAGTGATCTTAGCCTGAAGAACAATCACCTGAGATAATAGTACACGAGTCACGATGTTAGCTTAGAGGAACAATACCCTAGTATATGATCTTGGTTTCAGGAACTTCTAATCTTAGTTTTATGAGAACTGTAAACAATAGTAAAGTCTGCAACAATATACAAGTTAATGATTTTAGTACACGTTGTTAATGTACCCTAAAACAATACCTTTGCCTACATGCAGGAATGTATGAGCTAATGGGTTAAAAT